TCCCTCTCACGTGTTTATAACACCATCTATGTCCAGTATACACGTATATAATAGAGGGGTGTTGTTCCCTCTCACGTGTTTATAACTCCATCTATGTCCAGTATACAAGTATAGGTTAGGAGGATGCTGTTCCCTCTCACGTGTTTATAACTCCATCTTTGTCCAGTAAACACGTATAGGTTAGGAGGATGCTGTTCCCTCTCACGTGTTTATAGCACCATCTATGTCCAGTATACAAGTATAGGTTAGGAGGATGCTGTTCCCTCTCACCTGTTTATAACACCATCTATGTCCAGCGTAAAGGCATATAATAGAGGGGTGTTGTTCTCTCTCACGTGTTTATAACACCATCTATGTCCAGCGTAAAGGCATATAATAGAGGGGTGTTGTTCCCTCTCACGTGTTAATAACACCATCTATGTCCAGCGTAAAGGCATATAATAGAGGGGTGTTGTTCCCTCTCACGTGTTTATAACACCATCTATGTCCAGCGTACACGTATATAATAGAGGGGTGTTGTTCCCTCTCACGTGTTTATAACACCATCTATGTCCAGCGTAAAGGCATATAATAGAGGGGTGTTGTTCCCTCTCACGTGTTTATAACTCCATCTTTGTCCAGTAAACACGTATAGGTTAGGAGGATGCTGTTCCCTCTCACGTGTTTATAACACCATCTATGTCCAGCGTAAAGGCATATAATAGAGGGGTGTTGTTCCCTCTCACGTGTTTATAACACCATCTATGTCCAGTATACACGTATAGGTTAGGAGGATGCTGTTCCCTCTCACGTGTTTATAACTCCATCTTTGTCCAGTAAACACGTATAGGTTAGGAGGATGCTGTTCCCTCTCACGTGTTTATAACACCATCTATGTCCAGTATACACGTATATAATAGAGGGGTGTTGTTCCCTCTCACGTGTTTATAATTCCATCTTTGTCCAGTATACACGTATAGGTTAGGAGGATGCTGTTCCCCCTCACGTGTTTATAACACCATCTTTGTCCAGTATACAAGTATAGGTTAGGAGGATGCTGTTCCCTCTCACGTGTTTATAACACCATCTATGTCCAGCGTAAAGGCATATAATAGAGGGGTGTTGTTCCCTCTCACGTGTTTATAACACCATCTATGTCCAGCGTAAAGGCATATAATAGAGGGGTGTTGTTCCCTCTCACCTGTTTATAACACCATCTATGTCCAGCGTTAAGGCATATAATAGAGGGGTGTTGTTCCCTCTCACGTGTTTATAACACCATCTATGTCCAGCGTAAAGGCATATAATAGAGGGGTGTTGTTCCCTCTCACCTGTTTATAACACCATCTATGTCCAGCGTAAAGGCATATAATAGAGGGGTGTTGTTCCCTCTCACGTGTTTATAACACCATCTATGTCCAGCGTAAAGGCATATAATAGAGGGGTGTTGTTCCCTCTCACGTGTTTATAACACCATCTATGTCCAGCGTAAAGGCATATAATAGAGGGGTGTTGTTCCCTCTCACGTGTTTATAACACCATCTATGTCCAGCGTACACGTATATAATAGAGGGGTGTTGTTCTCTCTCACGTGTTTATAACACCATCTATGTCCAGCGTACACGTATATGATAGAGGGGTGTTGTTCCCTCTCACGTGTTTATAACACCATCTATGTCCAGCGTACACGTATATAATAGAGGGGTGTTGTTCGCTCTCACGTGTTTATAACACCATCTATGTCCAGTATACACGTATATAATAGAGGGGTGTTGGTCCCCCCCATGTCTTTATAACACCATCTATATCCAGCGTACACGTATAAAATAGAGGGGTGCAGTGCCCTCTCGCGTGTTTATAATCCCATCAATCTCAAACTTAGACGTACAGGCTAGAGGGGTGATGTTCCCCCTCACCATCTTTGTCCAGCGGTAGATATAACCGGTTCTCAGTAATACCCGGGGAATATGTTCTATCAAATATACATTGAATATACAATGTTAAGCGTTTATGTATTGTCCACAAATCTCACTGACGGTGAACTATATGCCACCGCATGCCGCTTTATCAATACCTAAAGCCGTCTTCTTATATGCCTCTTGCCGTATATCAGCTGTAGTACACAAACAGGGCATTCAAGCCATGAGATTATCTTCCAGAAGTCGGGTCTGCTCAGAACAGTTCAACACCACAAGTCGGTGGGCCTTATTGGATCAACAGTTAACCTTACATTTGATGATATGTATGTTTTATGAAACAAGTACACGATAAAACCACTTTGAGGGATTATCGTGTCGGAGTGTAAACATACTAGGAATAGCTTTAAGGGTTCCCTAAGCTCCCAGCTCCAAGCTGGTACCATATACAGAGAGCTAACGCTACCGGGTAGTGTAGTGTTGACAATTGCAGTGTAATGTGTTTCAGTCTTATACTTAAGTACATCCTCATGAACGGACTTTGAATAAGACAAAGGCCACCGCAGATGTGTCTGTTTGAAATACTGTACTGGTATCCAGTGTCTGTATACACTTACTCCACTCTCAGTAACTGTAAGGCGCGGCCACGGTTTGATTCCCCACATGCCTGGGTACAAAATGTGAAGCCTTTTTCTGGTTTCACCAGCTGTGATATTGCTGGAATATTGCTAAAGGCGGCATAAAACTATACTCAGTCAGTCAGAGACTAAGTAACACAAAATAAAAAACAAACAAAAACGATCATTCGGTTTATATACCACCACCACCCCCGCCCCCCAAAACCAAAAACAACCCAAAAAACACAAAGAAACTCATCCCCCACCCCGCATACAAACCATGAAACTAATTGAATAATAACGGTACGCGAATACACCCAAGGCTGTGCGACGCTAACACTGAGGCGAGATACAAGAGGACTACAGCGAACATGACCAGGAATGTCACTATAACAGTAAACTGTTGTGTGCCTTGTTGAATACAGCTATAAACATAATGGCGTTAATCGAAATTCTGAGTTGTAACACGTTTCACCTGTAAACACATTAAGACGAATATAAACTAACCTGCTAAGGGCACCTCAATACGTTTTGTTTGATTTAAAATAACTTATATCAGTGCACTGATTATGGAGGTGACGCTTTTTAATAGATTTGATAAATAGTGTCGAATATGTCTGGTTAGACAAAATCATATGTATGTTATTTGCGAATGTCCCACTCTTTTTTTAAATTAATATATAGAAACCAGTTTGTATATATCCCATTGCTTCCAAACACTGATTGAACACAATGACCGTACACTACCATGTTGACCATTGTGATAAAAATATATATCGACTTGAATACGTTTTGATTGATAGGATCCATGTTAAGTCCACAAGGATAGCTGTACCCATGACGGAACACACGTGACTACTGGGCAGACATACTGAAAGTATCGGATCTGTTTCGGGCTAACGCGAATGATCAGTTATTGACTTAATGTCCCTGACTACTGGTGACACATGGTATTGAGTAAAACTGTTACAGATGAACGGTTTGTCGAAAGTGTCGCCGTGTTAGAGCATGTCTATGGAACAACTTGATATGCTGATTCCATTTGCTCCTACCACGACCTTTTCATAGGTAATGTGGATTTGACAAATGTGAGTGTCACAAAGTTGGATTTTTTAACAATATTCCGAGGGCACGGGTGGCCCAGTCGTCTAAGGCGCCGCAAATCGCTGTGCAGAGTTGCTTCCCTTGGGCACGCCAGAAACCTATAATTGTGGGTTCGAACCCCGGTTCGCCCCGATTATGTTTCTAGGTTTGTCAGCATCATACCCGTGCTCGTGGGTTTCACCGAAGTGGTAAACGTATGAGACCTGCAAGCTTAATGTGGGAGGAAAGCCCGAGTGATGCAGGTCTCAGACGTTTACCACTTCGATGAAACCCACGAGCACGGGTATGGTGCTGACAAACCTAGAAACATAATCGGTGCGAACGGGGTTCGAACCCCCATGATCGATAGATTTCTGGCGTGCCCAAATGAACGCAACTCAGTACATCGAATTGCGGCGCCTTGGACGAACTCATGTTTTTCATATTATAGCGTTGAGATATATGGTTTGAACCCAAGGCAAATAAAAGCTGCAATGGCGTCCAACGATGGCGTCTGAAGCAGCAACATGTGCTGGATATCAAGAAGTATCAATAGTGTCAAGGATATCAGGACGTATCACTTGACAAAACAGGGGGGTGGGTAGTTTAGTGGTTAAATCGTCGGGTCACCGAGGCCAAGGCCCGGGTTCTATTCCAGTTACGGCACGATTTTTACAACCTCATTCAGGCGTGATACTTAATGAGACTTAAAACCTATAAAACAACTATACATTCAGTGAGCTCTATAGACTTTTACTAAGTTAAAATACCTTTACGAGGGACGAGGTATGTTGAATTTAAGGTAATAAACCCACGTTCACTGTTCAGGGCACGTACTGGAGAGATCCTGTTCCTGTGCCGTGTACAAGTGGAACAACTGTGCGTTTAAGTGTAGGTAGTTTCAGACGTGCATTACTTCAAGTGCCTGTGTGTGTGGTGATTCCGGGTTAGAACCGGTCTTCAGCAACCCATGCTTGTCTTAACAGACGACTAACGGGATCGAGCGGTCAGCGCTGACGTGGTTGATGGATGTTATCGTATCCAAATTGATGCTCATGATGTCCATTGTGGATTGTCTGGTCCAGACTCAGTTATTTACAGACCGCCGCCATATAGCTGGAATATTGCTGAGTGCGGCTTTAAACAACACTCAAACAAGCAAACAAACCTGTCATAACTAATTCCCCATCCAAACGTTCACAAGGCCGCTCGTCAAATACACTCACACCATAGGAGTCTTGTCTGCTTAGCCGACCCGTCTTCCTTTTGAGTTATGGTAGATTAAAGCATGTCACACACATTTCAACGTTGTAAACCATGTCGATATTTTTGACGCCATAAATCATATCAGCTCCCCCTGCCTTTGTAGCAGGGTAGTGTACATAGCCTTAGTGTAGTTACACGGCTCACGTGAGTGACAGCTTGTGGATTTCAAGTGGGGGTGCTGGAGGGGCCTGCGAACGCCCGCTTCATTATGTCACTAGCCCACCACGGAGCGTGATGTTTGTGTTGCTCTACTGTTAGCTGTGGGAATGGAGAGGTGTTCATTTCACAGCTGACATTGATGATAGCTGTTTATTTCAATTCTCTGCTCATATATATTTCACTTGTCTTCAGAGGACCAGGGAGACTGCGGGTGTTAGAACACGGAGCAGAGATAATACCTGAGGCAGCAAGGTAGGTAAAAGGAGTTAAACAATGTTTTTGACTCTCGGGTAATAATAATATTAATTATACATCATTGACACTGTTTCTTTCATGTAACGAGTGACGTTACCTTGACGTAGAAATGTCCCCGTTCTATGTAGAAGGGCAAATGCAGGAGTACACGTATTTATCCGAGACAGGTGTCAATAACGCTGAGGTGGATGGTTATGTAGGTGTAAGTTTCAGTTATGCAAATTAATTTCTTCAGGTATTTCTGTCACAACAAACGTTTCCCTGTTTCAATAAAAACAGGATTTCCCTCTGGTATTAATTTCTCTTTATATGTAATCATTAATTTCTCTGTATATCCAGTAAATTACTGCGCAGTTTATCTAAGCATTAATATCAAATAACTCCAGGTGTATTGCTCCGATATAGATATGACTCAGCCCGGCGTATATGTCTCTTCCATACACAGAAGTATCGCGGGAATTTCGCCCCAATATAAGTAATTTACTATCCCATGCAGACTTTGCTCAACAAGGCACCAGATTTCTTCAGTAATGGAGGTGTACCATCCAGATACAGAGTAATGCAGGTGTACCCTCCAGATACAGGTATCGCTGAGTAATGCAGTCGTATACTCCACATGGACGTCTGTCTCCCGTGAAGATCCGCGGTAGAAGAGGTCTTCAGCAACCCATGCCTGTCGTAAAGGGTGACTATGCTTGTCGTAAGTGGCGACTAACGGGATCGGGTGGTCAGGCTTGCTGACTTGATTGATGCATGTCATCGATCCCAATTGGGTGGATCGATGCTCATGATATCAATGACTGAATTGTCTGGTTCAGATTCGATTACTTAAAGACCGTCATATAGCTGGAATATTGCAGAGTGCGGCGTTAATCAACAAACAAACAAACAAACAAAACAGTAATGCAGGTGTAGTTCACCGATACAGGTATCTCTCAGTAACGCAGATGGATGCTCCACATACAAGTATCTCTTAGTAATGCAGATGCATCTCTCCGATATGGGTATCTCCGAGTAATACACGTATCTCTCAGTTTAGTCGATGTTACTTCTAATACAATCAACACTCAATACAGCAGATGTCTCCCTCTGGTTCATACACTTGTAAGAAGCGACTAACGGGATCGGGTGGTCAGGGATGATGCATGTCATTGTATCCCAATTGCGTGGATCGATGCTCATGATGTCAGTCACTGGATTGTCTGGTCCAGACTCGAATATTTACAGACCGCCGGCATGTAGCTGGAATAATGCTAAGAGCGGGTTAAACAACAAACAAACAAACATACACTTGTATGTGTCAAAGTAAGGACTATGTATCCCTCCGATAGGGACATATCGCGATAACCACAGATGTATCAAGGCAATTTCAACCCCTGAATGATCAACGTTGCAGTCGTGTCTGATATCCAAATGACTTGTCATGATCTATAAGTAGCCTTTATTTACATTCCAAACTTCAGAGTGACGACCTATAGTGCCACGTGATAAGCTCCGTCCTCCATGGCAAAGTCGTTTATCAACCACCCGTTGACAGTGTGTAGAATCTCATTTTCGGTTTAGACTCATAGACCAAACACTTTCAGTGCCACGTTAACCTGGTCTGACAAATTAACCAAGCTGCTCGCCTGGGAGCCGGGGCCATCTGTGGCTTGCGAAGGATGCGTTCCCTAGCGGCTGCAGCGGCGGTTGTATACACGTGAAGACTGTCTGCAGTACATCGGGAGGTATTAGACCACCGCCTGCAATCTCTGTTGTATATCAACAAAGCTGATTATAAAATATGTTAGAACACGTTTGGCTTATTGAAGCATACATGTGTTGAAAAAATAGATCTATCGTACCCGAAATATTCCTTAATTAACTCCGTTATGATTTGTGAACAAGATATTTCGGAATCTGCGGGGCGGTCGGGTAGCCTAGTGGTTAAAACGTTCGCTCGTCACGCCGAAGGCACGGGTTCGATTCCCGACATGGGTGCAATGTGTGAAGCCCATTTCTTGTGTACCCCGCCGTGATATTGCTGGAATATTGCTAAAAGCGGCGTAAAACCATACTCACTCACTCACTCATCTCATCTCATCAGATCTCGCTGAAGAAAAACAACTTAAGATTGTTGTATGTTAAATGGTTGCTGATAAGCAAACATGTATATTGTGTTTCTGCTCACAGGTAAACGAACATATTGTGCCATTGATGCCCAGACAAAACAATGGTGCCCTTGTTCCCACCGTGACGGCAACAAACATTTCGTGTCATTGGTCTCCAGTTAAATATATTTTGTTCTTGCTTTCATGTAAACAAACATGTGGTGTCTTTCGTCCCTGGTTAAATATATACTCACACGCAAAAGAAACGCATGTGGTTTTAAGCAAATAGGTGACAAACATGGAACCATAAACTGATACGAGTTTTAGCATGTAGTGTAGCCTGATGTTGTTATCAATATGTTTGGTTGCATTTTGGAAGCCCCGAGTAAAAACGCAACATAAAAAACGAATCGCCCAAACACACCATTTGAATGAATATGTGGGTATCATGCACCAATTTCTCGCGAAATCGAAAATGCACGAATTGTCACTAACTGTAGTGTCTATAAAACTGTGGCCGATACTTGGACCTACCACTCCTTGGTCAACAATGCCACGCCTAACTCAAATTCAGAGAAACCAGGCTATCGGACGTTTGGAAGCTGGAGAGTCTGTCCAAGATGTTGCCCGTCATTTCAACGTTAACATAACCACACTTAACCGTCTCCTGCATCGATACAATGCTACACAGACGACAGATGACCTTCCTCGGAGCGGTCGTCCTAGGGTCACCAACACCTCGACAAGATCAGCAGATTACCCGTCAACACCAGCGACATCCGTTCCTAACTGCAAGTGATAGTGCTCGACAGACCACAGGAACACATAATCGACACATTAGCCGGGACACTGTGATCCGACGTCTCCGTTCCAACAACCTCAGATGTCGCCGACCAGCACGTCGTCCTGTTCTCCATCCACGGCATCGAAAAGCACGACTTCAGTGGGCACAGGGTCATCACAATTGGCGTCATCGTGAGATGAGGCGTGTCATCTTCTCTGATGAAAGTCGCTTTTGTGTCTCCCATGCAGACGGGAGAGTCAGAATTTGGCGGCGTCGAGGTGATCGTTTTGCTGACAGAAACGTTGTGGAAAGGGATCCATGGGGTGGACCTAGCGTCATGATATTGGCAGGGGTTGGACTTAATGCGAGACTTGGACTCATGTGCTTTCTGAATGTTGGTCAAGGTCAAGGACACGGCGTCACTGCTCAGCGGTATATCGACCAAGTGATCAGACCCCACGTTGTTCCATTTTTTGCACGACATCAACAACACATTTTCCAGCAGGACAACGCTCGTCCCCATGTTGCCAGAGCTACCATGGCCTTTCTGCAACAACACAACATCCGTGTTCTGCCGTGACCAACCCTCGGCCCTGATCTGAACCCCATCGAACACTTGTGGGATGAGGTTCAAAGGCGTCTGCACAATGTGCGCCCAGTCCCTACAACTGCCGATGAACTACGCACAGCTGCTCTGGATGTGTGCAGGAGGATTCCTAGGGCCTTCACAAATCGTCTGATCCACTCAATGTACAGGAGATGTGTCGCAGTGATCAATGCTAATGGTGGTCACACCAGGTATTGACTGACATTTTTGGTATTGACCCGAAACTGTGTAAGCCCTTAACATTTGATAATTTTTTTTATGTCATCTGCCTTTTAATCCATGAAACTGTCTTCAGTCAAATTTTTGTCAATCTTGCCCTATTAGTATTTCTTGTCTTTAATGTTGAAAATAAATAACCTGCATACTGCATACTTGACTTGCGTTTCTTTTGCGTGTGAGTATACAAACTGTGTCTCATCTTTACGTGTTCTTGCAAGCATGTCTTCGTTACGTGTTCTTGCTCTCTTGTCTTCGTTACGGGTCCTTTTAAGCATATCCTCGTTACGGGTCCTTTCAAGCATGTCATCGTTACGGGTCCTTTGCTAGCATTCCTAGTTACGTGTTCTTGCTGTCATATCCTAGTTACGTGTCCTTCCTATCACGTCCTCGTTACGTGTTCTTGCTATCATATCCTCGTTACGTGTTCTTGCTAGCATATCCTCATCACGTGTCCTTGCTAGCATATCCTCGTCACGTGTTTTTGCTGTCATATCCTCGTCACGTGTCCTTGCTAGCATATCCTCGTCACGTGTTCTTGCTGTCATATCCTCGTCACGTGTCCTTGCTAGCATATCCTCGTTACGTGTCCATGCTATCATATCCTCGTTACGTGTCCTTGCTATCATATCCTCGTTACGTGTCCTTACTAGCATATCCTCGTAACGTGTTCTTGCTAGCATATCCTCGTTATGTGTCCAAGCTATCATATCCTTGTAACGTGTCCTTCCTAGCATATCCTCGCTATGTGTCCTTGCTAGCATATCCTCGTTACGTGTTCTTTCTAGCATATCCTCATCACCTGTTCTTGTTAGCAAAACCTCGTGACGTGCCCTTGCTATCATATCCTCGTTACGTGTCCTTACTAGCATATCCTCGTAACGTGTTCTTGCTAGCATATTCTCGTTACGTGTCCATGCTAGCATATCCTTGTAACGTGTCCTTCCTAGCATCCTCGTCATGGGTCCTTGCTAGCATATCCTCGTTACGTGTTCTTGCTAGCATATCCTCGTCACCGGTTCTTGTTAGCATATCCTCGTGACGTGTTCTTGCTAGTACATCCTTGTTACGTGTCCTTGCTATCATATCCTCGTTACGTGTTCTTGCTAGCATATCCTCATCACGTGTCCTTGCTAGCATATCCTCGTCACGTGTTTTTGCTGTCATATCCTCGTCACGTGTCCTTGCTAGCATATCCTCGTCACGTGTTCTTGCTGTCATATCCTCGTCACGTGTCCTTGCTAGCATATCCTCGTTACGTGTCCATGCTATCATATCCTCGTTACGTTTCCTTGCTATCATATCCTCGTTACGTGTCCTTACTATCATATCCTCGTAACGTGTTCTTGCTAGCATATCCTCGTTACGTGTCCAAGCTATCATATCCTTGTAACGTGTCCTTCCTAGCATATCCTCGCTATGTGTCCTTGCTAGCATATCCTCGTTACGTGTTCTTTCTAGCATATCCTCGTCACGTGTTCTTGCTAGCATATCCTCGTTACGTGTTCTTACTAGCATATCCTCGTCACCTGTTCTTGCTAGCATATGCTTATTACGTGTTCTTGCTAGCATATCCTCGTTACGTGTCCTTGCTAGCATATCCTCGTTACGTGTTCTTGCTAGCATATCCTCGTTACGTGTCCTTGCTAGCATATCCTCGTTACGTGTCCTTGCTAGCAAATCCTCGTCACGTGTCCTTGCTAGCATATCCTCGATAGGTGTCTAGGTGTCGGCCTAACCTCGTTAAGGGTCCTTGCCAGCATGTCCTCTTACTGCCACTTCCTGTAGACGACGTCACTGACCCCTGCCTGCATGTACATGACAACTGCATTACGCCAACACCGTCTACGAGGAGAGTGCATTTCACCCTCGAGACGTCCTTAGAATGTCATCAATATGCAGTATGTTTGAATTATTTACTTACACTCGAGTGTGCAGACATTGCTATCAGAGTGGGTTCTGTGTCAGATACGACTGGGCGAGCGACATACAGAAATGTAAACTGAAACACTGACCTGCAATGTGCAATACTGTCCAGACCAGATGATCGCAAAGATGCCTACCCAGACCTGAATATCTCAGTACTGTATACCTACGCAGAATATTTCAGTCTTGTAGGCCCAGGGAACTATATCAAATATATCCGGGTCAGTATATATCAGTTCTTTTTTCCAAGGGCAGTAAATATCAATGTCTGCAGTTCCAGGGTAAAATATCTTAATCAAGACTTAATGTTGTATGCCCATAGGCAAGAATATTTTACTTATGCTGTATTACCAGGCAAGTATATCCTAGTCCTGTATACCAAGACAAGTATATCCTAGTGCTGTATACCCAGACAAGTATATCCTAGTGCTGTATTTCAAGGCAAGTATATCCTTGTGATATATTCCCAGACAAGTATATCCTAGTGCTGTATACCCAGACAGGTATATCCTCGTTCTGTATACCCAGACAAGTATATCCTAGTGCTATATACCCAAACAAGTATATCCTAGTGCTGTAAATGAGTTAATATCCTGATGAATATTATTCAGACCATATCACGCCAGCGCGTTGTTTTATTTATTAAAGTACCCTTGATGATGTAAACTACATGTAGGTAAATGTAATTTCTTTAAGAAAGCTCCCGCGTTTGCAGTTTGATCTTCCATTTGTTCGTTTCACTGATATGTGCTACTGTTGAACGCCGATACATCGTTACATTTGACCAAGATACTTTGATCCCTCCTCCACACTGTAGAACGCGATCGCTGTTAGTGTTGCAGTGGATAAAGTACAATTGTTACACAAAGCCATTCTTGTTTAGGTCTGACGTGTCCCACTCTCACAGGTCTCCCTCTGGCTACGTCAAGGTCAAGGCTCGGGGAATGATGACACATATCACCTATTGTAGGCATGTTTGCGCAAACACCAGATTAACACCGTTAGTGGAAGATTGTGCATGTGGCAGTATTTTGATACCAGCCCCTACCATACTGTGACCCTACTGAACAAGGAATGCTCAACTGACGTTATCAGCCGACGTGTAACTCAAATCAACCCTCATCCCTGCAGTATGGGATCCTAGAAGGGACATTGTCGCGTTGTCGTCCTTTCAAAAACGAGTAAACAGTGTAACAAATCACCAAAATGCTCCTAAAATAAGTAAAAAAAGGTGTTAAAAGGTGCGACAACGCGACAATGTCCCATCTAGGATTCCATACTACAGGACGTCCTTGTGTTTCTTTCTTAAGTATTCACAATCAAAGTACGTGTTCAATGTAGCTATATAGTCGAGTGAAATTAGAGATCGTTCAAGTGATTTTATTTATGGGTCAAATATATTACAGTGAGATTTCAAATTAAGTACACAGTAAAATGTGTTTATGCATTGAACACATGCTAGACATGCTTATCTCTAAACGTGTTTAGGATAGTGTTTAAATCCTGAATGGAAGAAAGCTGTTGCATCTTTTCTTATCTAAACACATGTAACGAGCTCAGATCTCACTACACCCGCATCACCCCTAATCTGAAGACGTAAATATGTTTACAACAGATCTACTTCGCATCGATTAGTATATCAAATAAAGTTTTATCTAACGCCACTTGGGGCAGTATTACAGTAGAAAACAGATCTCACTACACCCACATCACCCCTAATCTGAACACGTAAATATGTTTACAACAGATCTACTTCGCATCGATTAGTATATCAAATAAAGTTTTATCTAACGCCACTTGGGGCAGTATTACAGTAGAAAACAGATCTCACTACACCCACATCACCCCTAATCTGAACACGTAAATATGTTTACAACAGATCTACTTCGCATCGATTAGTATATCAAATAAAGTTTTATCTAACGCCACTTGGGGCAGTATTACAGTAGAAAACAATGCATTACAGGAATGAAATCATGCACAAGTGCACATTGTGTGATGGCATTGTCAAGTCTGAAGCTTTTATGCTGTGTTAAATTTGTTCAGTTCAACACTGGGTTCTTTGTCTAGTGTTTGCTTCGATATACACAGCAGCATGCAAGAGTCATGGATTGTGTGGAGGTATTTCAGCGAACTGACATTGTTTGAACTTGGTGTTGATGATGTCCTATTGTACTATTCCTATTGACTTAGTTTCCAAACGTTTTCAAATTGTGAACATAGTTTAATTAAATTTTAAGCCTGCTTAAATCCTAAATAAACTGAACGGCAAAAGAAACGTTGCACCAGATTGAAGTGACTGTAATTAATAAACTAAAAATAACAAAAGTTTGAGGTAAAGTATATTTAATACACCAACAATTCCACTTAGTACTTAACGACTCAAACTTGACCTTTTTTGTGGTCAAATAGTGTACACCCGACAAACAAAATTAGTGGGAGTTGAAAGTTCAGTTGTCAAGATTTTGACTGCAATTCATTCAAACACGGAAAGTGGTCACAGACACAAAATTTGGCACTTTAATACCGTATGTGGCCTCCCCGTGACTCCGAACATGTAAAACGTCAAACGTCTGATGAGGTCACGTGACAAGCGGTTCCATTCATCTTGTAGAGATTGTATCAACACTTGCTGTTGGTAGGAGGGTGTGGTCGGCCTCTAACTCGCCTGTCCAAGACGTCCCAGAGGTGTTCTATGGGTGATAAGTCAGGAGAACATGCCGGCCACGGTAAGACGTTGACGTTGTTGATGGCAAGGAAGTCCACTACGATACGAGCTGTGTGGGGTCTGGCCTTGTCGTGTTGGTACAGAACACCTCGGGGTTGTTGCTGGACCTATAGCAGCACTACTGGACGGCGGATATCATCTCTATAGCGTTGCGCATTATGGTTTCAATTGATGACGACGAGCGGCGTTGTCTGGTCACCACAAATTCCACCCCACACCATAACGCCAACTCCACCGTTAGGAACGACTTCTTGAACGCAGCAAGCAGCTGTCCGTTCACCTCTGCGACTGTAAACACGCAGTCTGCCATCAAAACTAAACAGACAGAACCTGCTTTCGTCCGTAAAGACCACGCGTTGCAAATCCCGAGGCTGCCACCGTCGCACTGAATTAACCTATCGTATTCGTCTGCGTCGATGTTCAGGGGTCCACATCTGTTCTCTGGACGGTCGGTAGGCCCTGACACCTGCTGTCCGAAGTCATCTGGTTACTGTGTGTGTGCTCACCCGCCGACCCAAAGCATTCACTACCGATAACGTCACTATGAGGAAGCGGTTGCGGAGGTGCAACGTTCACAGATACCGGTCTTCCTGTGGTGTAGTGACCCGTGGTCTCCCTGTCCTGGGTTTGTCCGATATCCTTCCGGTATTTTTTACATGTTTTTGACATTGCAACTGTGCAGTGTTTATACCCCTGTGGCACATGCATTTCTACCAGATTGACATTACGTGATTTTACATTTTTCACATTTTGCTCAAAAATACGTGTGCATTGCCGGTAGAAATTACAGGTACAACAACTATGCGTTTGGGCTATGTGTTTGTGCTTATTGGGTTTGAACCAGTACAACTACTTTAAAATCACATCATTTTCAAATGTGCAAAGTTTCTTTGGAAGGTCAGTTTATGTGTAGGTTTTAAACATAATTCTATATGTTTATGTCACGTCAGACCTTTTACTTAACGGATAATGAACGGGTTTAGGTTTGTGTTTGTGGTCTGAACACATTTAGTTAACGTGAACTGACGTTGTTGAAAGGAACGCGCATTTTTGCGATGACTTCATGCCCTGCAATTCTTACATGGTATAAAACCAATCCACGCGCTCATTATTCTTACTATGGGGACAGAACCTAAATTTTCCCAGTCACAGCATGTCAAAGGTCTAAACGTGTTTTGTTCAACACCACTGACCTGTCTATAATGTTCTAAATCTTCCCTTAATAGTACCATGTATTTAATCACCTGGATGTCAATACCCCATCAGTTAATCCAGCTGATGTACCATGGTGTTGACGGTAATGAGATGGACCCCGATTGATTTTGGGGATAAACTCTGAGAAAGAGACGATTAAAAGGACATGCTGATTCATATTTGATAGGATTGTCAGTTGATCGGGGCATTGTCTCCCTTTATTAAACATTCGTTATTTGTTCAGGGTTACACCATGCAAGGTCCCAGTTAAGATTTCAAAAAAATGTTATGGCAGACATGTGGAGGACATTTGTAAATTTGAAGCATTAGTGACAATTTTGACTTGGACAATATGCTCCTGTGTGTTTTCAGGTGAACAATTGACTTGCCTTTGCATGTGTTTTTGACGGGTGCCATCGATAAGGCAGAATACGTTCCCCTTTTCTCATTTGGTAGTGATTCATTAACACATGATCTACATGTAGTCGGAAGCGTACAACGAACAATAGCTCTATGCAGAGATTTCTTACATTTATGGAAAATGTTTTTGTCGCTTTTGTTATATTATTCATTAGGTGATTCTAGAACGAATATTGTTCAAATGCAGGTCGTATTAAACACATCCTTGTTTATGTCAAGGGCTCTAATAAGGCTTGGCGATTTACGCTAAATATAGTTCTGACAATGGGCATATCAAACTGTGTTCGAATGGTTCCGACCCAGTCGTATAATGTTAGAAGTTTCTAAACATTACACACATGCACACGCACACGCACACGCACACGCACATACGTACACACGTACACACAAATCAGAATACGCCATTGTAGGGCTACTAGCGTCAGGACATCCAGATCAA